TCTGAAGGACAGTTTTCCTGGGTGTAGTAATCAAGTTTCCTAAGATTCTGAATATTTAATTCTATTCTATTTTGACCTATTAGGTTTCTTCTGTGAAATCCACTCTAACTCTAATGGATCTTCTCTTGCTGCCTTTAGAATTCTTTTGGACTTCTGACATTTTTTTCTGTAATATATCTTTGGTGATAATCCCTTTTGGCTGAATTCAGTTGGGATGCTTTAGTTGTGCTTCTGATACCTAGGTGTTGATTGTCTCTTTGAAGATTCGGCAAGTTTCCATTTTCTCCTTTTCTCTCTCTGGAAGTCCTACTTCTGGGACTTTAACAAATATTTGTTCACCTAATAGTGAGTGTCCCATAAATTTCACACACTGTCTTCTACTCACTAGGTCAACTTAAAACTTTCCTCAGATTCAGAAATTCTTCTGCTTATCCTAGAACTGTTGGGGTGGCAGTCCATTATATGCACTTTATTGATTAAAGTTTCTGGTTCTGAGATTTTTGATGTCTGTGTTCTTTTGCATCTTACTGGGTTTGCTTAAGATCATTGTCAAGTGTTTTTTCAGATATTTCACATAGCTCCTTCAAACTGGGGTCAATTTCTGGAGAACTACTTTTCCTTTGAAGGTACCATGTTTCCTATGCTTTGTTACTATGTCTGCTCGTCTGCTGTAACAGTTGCCTCTTCCAGTTTCAGAGAGCAGCTCTTGTAAGAAAAAGATGGGGGGAGTTGTTTTTCCTATTTAGATGACACACAGTGTCAGTTGGGTACATGCTTTGGCTTTGAAAGCTAGTAGTCTCAGCGGGCATACAGTGCATTACCTATACTCCCACCACTTAAGGGGCAGAGCAGGAGGATCTTGAATTGAAAGCCAGCTTAGCATACACAGCAAGATCCTGTTTTAGAAAAGGCAGCAGAAGCAGCAGCACTGTGGCTTGTTACTGTTCAGTATCAGCAGTGTCTCTGAGACCCTCAATACTCTAGATGGTGGCCATTTCAAAAAGAAGTTATATAACTTGGTAGTAGATGTAGGCTTTCAAACGTATGTGTCCTCAGGCTCCAGAAGTATAAGTGCCCTGGTGGCACCGAAGCTTGTGACAGTAGCTGTCAGAGTCTCAATGGTATGTAGAAAAGTCTGCTCTTCAGGATACGCTTAGGTGGTACCAAGGGTTGTGGCAGAAGATGTAGTTCTAGAGTCACAGGATGGGTTGGAACCTTTTCCAGGTCCCAGTGGGCCAGTATAATAAATGCTGAGGTCTATCGCACTGGTAACTAAAGATATGAGATCTACTGAATGGACATTCCCTATGGTACAATTTCAGTTTGTATTAGTGCTAACAGCTCCATTAGTGAATCTCTTAAGTCACCCAGGGTGTGTGTAGGTCAAGCATGGATAGGACCAGATCATGTGGCTTTATCTGCAGTCCTGGAACTCTAGGACATGGATGAGTGTTCTTCCCAGTCTGAGGTACAATTCTGGGTAACACTGAAGCTTTCTGTGGCTGTGGTCCTAAGGTTGTAGGTAAGACTTTATGTACTTCTTGCATGATGAATCCAAGTGGTGCCAGAGCTGAAGCATTATTAGCTATGTTTCTGGAACTGGAGTTGGAACTTTCCTCAGGTTTCCAGAGAGACAGCTATGAGTGATGCTGGGGTTTTGGCACCAGCAGTTATGAGTAGGATTTAGGCTTATAGGTATGGCAGCTGCTGGTCCTGAAGCCGTAAGACAGGCACCAAAAGCACTGTCTTCTACTCTCTGAGGTGCATCTAGCCCCTAAGGTATGGTAGGAGCAGTAACTGGCATAGCAGCTTGGGTTCTGGGGGTGGCACAGCAGAGCACTAGCCCTTAGACCAGCTACCTTACCTTTCAAGGCTATAAGGCCTGCAGAATCCTGTGATTAGGACTACCAGTTTGCTGCTGTGATTGAAGTTACTGGCATATTACTGCTTACCCTTTCTCCGGCAATATATCCCTGGTGATAAGGATTGAAGAGTTTGTTTCTCTTGGGTTCCTTTCTGCCTCTCCCTGTTGATTTCTAGAGCTCCTCCTCCATCCCCAATCACTCCTCAAATATACTTTTTCCTTTCTTACCCAGTTGTACACAGGACACCACCCTATATACATCTTAGAGCTTCTCTCCATAACTTTTTAAAAATATTTTATTTATTATTTTTATGTGTACGTGTGTATTGCCTGCATGTAGGTAAGTGCACCTGTGTTTTGCAATGCCCGCAGAGAACAGAAGAGGCTGTCGGATCTCCTGGGACTGGAGTTGCAGACAGTTGTTAGCTGCCATGTGGGTGCTAGGACATGAACCCAGGTCTTCTGCAAGAACAGGCAGTGTTCTTAACCACTGAGTCATCTCTCCAGCCCCTCTCCATAACTTTTTAAAAATATTTTATTTATTATTTTTATGTGTACGTGTGTATTGCCTGCATGTAGGTAAGTGCACCTGTGTTTTGCAATGCCCGCAGAGAACAGAAGAGGCTGTCGGATCTCCTGGGACTGGAGTTGCAGACAGTTGTTAGCTGCCATGTGGGTGCTAGGACATGAACCCAGGTCTTCTGCAAGAACAGGCAGTGTTCTTAACCACTGAGTCATCTCTCCAGCCCCTCTCCATAACTTTTAAAATGAGTTTTTTTCCTTGATGACCTAATAGTTATTAAGGAAAGAAATGAGTTCAAAATGCCCCATAGTAAATGAGAATTTGAATGGTCTTGTGATTAAAAGCTAGCCTTCGGACTTAACTAGACATTACATCAATTGATTTCAGAAACTATTCATACAAAAGGACAAGATAGCTCTCATAGCTTCAAAGAGCACTACGCAAACTGCTAAGGGAGAACATCAATCAATGGTCCAACCCCAGCTTCAAGGTCTAATAACCATCAATGACTGGCACAGCAAACAACATGGGTGCAGTAGTGGTGCTTTTATCTTGGGGGTAATCAACAGCTGCCTAACTGGGCTTAAAACCCACTCAATGAGAGGAAACTCATGTGTGGTCTTTTTGAGACAGGGTCTCCCTATAGCACCAGCTGGCCTAGAACTACTATGTAGACCAGGCTGGCCTTGAACTCACAAAGATTCGCCTGCCTCTGTCTCCCAAGTGCTAAGACTAAAGGTGTGCACCACCAAACCCGGTAACAAATGTAATTTCTTACTATGTACAAAATATGGATCCTTATATTTACGGACAAATATCCCAGTCACCACTCAAAGAAGGTTCTTTTGCAACCAAGGGAGACTATTACAGAATTCCACAACTAATCACACACAGACATTGTCTGTGAATTGCCCAAGCCTAAGTGGCACATCTACAATACAACCTAAGGCTTACAGAACATAGAACAAGGGATAAAGAGGATATTAATGCATCTCTCACTTCTCATCAATGCAGCTCCCTCATGCAACAGAGGGTCAGGAACACAAAAGGTTACAAATGGCCAAAGCATGGGGAGTTAGAATCTGCAGAGTGTGGGTCCTTGGACAGGACTCTTATATTAAACTCCACCCACCCAGGGCTCAGGGACCACTGTGGAGGCGGGGGGCGGGGATTCTAAGAACCAGGGAGAAGGTGCACAACCACATAGAAATAGAGTCCTACAAGCTCCTGGGACCTTGCTCATATGAACCTACAGCAACGGTGTCAGCAAGATCTATGCAAACTCAAGCAGACAAAACCCAGCACAGAACTGTGGAAATGGGCAACAAGCCCCAATCTTAGTTGAAGAATTATTGGCAGCTGATTACTGCTGGATGAGGAAAAGCTGATCTTCTTAAAGGGAGGGACTCTAGATAGGCTGACCAGACCCCAGTGGATGAACTTGCACTGAGGAACGTCTGGGGACACTAACTTGACAAGATAGGTCTTAACACAAATAAGAGTCTATGAATTCTAGTGGGGTGGGGGGCTATGGGAGGGTGCCAATGGGGAAGGAGGTATAAAGATGATTAAGCTTGATTAAGAAGTTCTGTATCAAATACAGAAAATTTCAATTAAAAAATTTTTTTATAGTTTAATGTATTTTAATAGCAAACTTACAGGAACAGCACAAAAGACAGACAACATTAAAAACATGTACTTGAATATAGGACAACTCAGAAAAGGATAGTGAATGAATGAAATCTACTGCATGATAAAAAGGCTACAAACATCATTTAGTTGCCATTAATAAGAAATTTACTTATTTTTTAAAAATCCAAATACTAGTTTAAAAAGGACAAACGTTCCTGGGCATGGTGGAGCACGTCTTTAATCCCAGCTGGGGCTATAGAGAGACCCTATCTCAAAAAGACACACACAATAAAGGACAAATGTTATAATTTATGACACTTTGCTTACTGTTCTTTTTTCTATAGATATGAGTGGGATATAATAAATTGTTTCATTTGGTTAGAAAATGTAAAGCCAGTATTAAAAAATAGAAACATGAGAATTTTGTTCAGTTTGGTTTTTTTGAAACAGGGTCTCACTATGTAGCCATGGCTGACCTGAAACTCACTATATAGAGCAGGCTAGCCTTGAATTAACTCACAGAGTCCTGCCTGCCTGCTAAATGCTGTGATTAAAGACATGTGCCACAACACCCAGCTGAGAAGTATTTTATCCTTCATCTAACATTACCTTATTAAATGGGATTTGGGGGAATAAGTACAATACAGATCTACCACGAACATGAAACACACCATATAAAAAGCTGAATGGGGGCTGGAGAGGCGGTTCAGCAGTTAAGGGCACTAGTTGGTCTTCCAGAGGACCTGGGTTCAATTCCCAGCACCCACGTGGTGGCTAACAACTATCTGTAACCCCAGTTCCAGGAAATCTGACACCTTCTTCTGATGTTCATGGGCACTGCACAACATGGATGCACTTACCTATATGCAGGCAATACACTCATATACATAAATTAAAAACAATAAATAAAAAAATTTTAAAGCTGAATAGATGTTTGAGCTCTAAGGGAAAAACAATTCAAAAACATTAAAATACTTTTACCTCGTAATGAACAAACTGGTCCATTTTCTTGATTCTTAGAGCGCTTACTTCTGAACTGATTTGGAATATCTAATGAAAGATCTTCAAAGGAAAGAGAAAAGCAGAGTTATTAAAGGTGTATGACCATGACTACACTAAGAATTTATATTAAAAAACTGATGATGTATATTTTTTTTCTTGTAAAGATTTTTCTGTCTTGATTTTCAAATAAAATAGCAAATACTCCTAGGCCAGTATATCTCACCTAGGAATGGATCAAACTTCCTTGACTCTGTCCCACAGATGAGGCAGTTGACTTCGTTCTGGAGAATGCCTCCAAATATTGCTGTGACAACAGTTGATGCTCCATTTCTAAAGAAACCACCACATGAGAAATGCTCGGTAAAATTGCTTTTTTGGTGTTTAAGAAGATAAAGTTTTGAAAACCATACAGGTGACTCCCTATGTATAATCTATATTTATTTAAAGTACAAAAAAAAAAAAAAACCTTCACATCTGTTTAGATAGATCAAATATACCTCTGGTCTCCCACAGCTCCTCTCTGAACGTCACTACTTTCTCCAGAAGTTATTAACATTGGCCAAACAGATCTCAGGAATGACTATACATAAGACAAGATGACTGCTTCACTGTCTCTAATACACCCCTCAGAAAAGAAGCAACTGACTTTTATTTAAATGTTTTGCTTTGAAAGGCCTCCTTGAGTATATGGAATTCTCCAAACTGCTTGGCTGACATCCTCAATCTGAGGAAGTAAAGATACTGATACAGACTTAGTGATCACTGCTAGATAAAGGTGCCAGCATTAATGTGACAAACCTTTTCTGAAAACTCACTTTAAAATACTATAATTTTATTGTGGAAATCAAAAACACATTATGAAAAAGGAAAAATTAACCACCTTAATGCTGCAAAACTGTCTGTGCCTCTGCTCCAACAAATTTCAACAGAAGTAACGGAAAGAGCTTGCCTCAAATGAGCCACAGAAGTAAGTCCTTATACCAGACAAAAAACACCTTAAGTGTTTGCAACTATTTTATTAGCAAAAAGACAGATCATACCTCCTTTGCTTCTTCCCATAAGAATGTGTCTTGATCACAGACTTACCATGGACTCGGGAACAGGAAAGGGCACCAAGAGTGGCAAGCACTCTGTATGTGGGCTCTATTCTAAGTAATCCCCATTTATTAAATCAGGTCTCAAAACTCTGTAAGGTAGATACTGTCATTTCAGTTTTGCAGACCAGGAAGCTGAGGCATAGAAGGAAAGCTCACTATGCTTCCCTTAATTTATTTAACCAAGACTATGAATAGATATTGAGGTGACCTCAGTTAAAATAATAATCATTCCTTTCTCAGCAAACTAACTGTTCTGATATCAAAGTATTTCAGGCTATATATGGGAAGCCAAAAATTTTGTTCATATTGAGGCAAAAAAAAATTCTGAAAACTTTTAAAATATTATGTTCACTAAAAATATTTACTTCTTTTATTTTTCTTTTGGTCTTTTTGAGACAGGCTTTCCCTGTAGCCTCAGCTGTCCTGGAACTATGTGGACCAGGCTGGCCTTGAACTCGCAGAGATCCACCTGCCTCTGCCTCCCAAGTGCTGGGACTAAAGGCGTGCACCACCATGCCCAGCAAAATATTTACTTCTTAATGAAACTGGAGAGAGAGAGAGAGAGAGAGAGAGAGAGAGAGAGAGAGAAAAGAGAGAGAGACACTCACTATGGAGTTCAGCCTGGCATTGAACTTGCCTCCACCTCCCCACATTCTAGGATTACAGATGTGAGCCACCACTCTCAGTTAGTGAACACATATAATTTATTTTGGTAACATTAAGTCTGTACATTATTCAATACTTCTGGTGGAAAATCTTTTTCTTTTCTTTTTTTTTTTTTTTTTGGTCTTTTTGAGACAGGGTCTCCCTGTAGCTCCAGCTGTCCTGGAACTCGCTATGTAGACCAGGCTGGCCTTGAACTCACAGAGATCCACCTGCCTCTGCCTCCTGAGTGCTGGAACTAAAGGCATGCACCACCACGCCTGGGTCTGGTGTAAAATCTTTTAAATGCTAAGTTTTATACTTATTTTCTTCACGTTTTAGAATCTATGCCAAAGAGTAATCAGAACCACACCAAGATGCAAATTTAAATGCTTCTAATCTGGAAGCAAGAAGCATGTGGTAGTTAAGGTACCCTCTCCTTCCATAATAAATCTAACACAGTAACACCAACAGATGTTTCTGACGTATACTGAAAAGTAAAAAGAAACTAAATCTTACATGCAGCATTTGTTACTTGCAGACAGAGTAGAATTCTCCTGTAGGATTGCAGAGCGGGAAACACCATTGAAACCGCCCTGAAGTTCCAAGTGTAGGTGGTCCAAAAGGTACCGCATGAATTCGTGGGCGTCTTGCTGCTGATAGCCCCTTGAAGCAAACAGAACAGTGTATAGGGAGTTCTACTTGCTCATGCAAACGTGCTAGTGGCAAGCACTACAAAGGACTGCTGCCCTGAGTTTACAGGCATGCTTTTAATCTTTCTCACCCTTCATCCCACTAGCTCCACACATGACACAATTTCTCTTAAAGAATTCTACTACTTAAAAATAATTTTAAGGGGCTGGAGAGATGGCTCAGTGGTTAAGAACACTGATTGCCCTTTCAGAGGACCCGGGTTCGATTCCCAACACCCACATGGCAGCTACGAACTGTCTTTAACTCCAGTTCCAGGGGAATCCGACACCCTCTTCTGACCTCTACAGCACTGCACGACACGGGTGCACTCACATACATGCAGGCAATACACTCATACACTTAAAAAATAATTTTAAAAGTCATGGACTATTAAGAGATAATTGGATGTGTAATGATAAATAAATTGGGGGGGCTACAATTTGCATCCCCTATATGGACCCTCTCTAGAAGAGGCCCATACCTTTAAATTCTACAACCTAACCTCACCTGAAAACTGGGAAATAAAGAATTCAGAACACTTAAATTGAAGAATAAGAATTTTTAAACATAAGGGGCTAGAGAGAGAGTTTAGCGGTTAAGAGTACTGGCTGCTCTTGCAGAGGACCCAGATTCAATTCCTAGCAACCCCAGGGAATCCGATGCCCTCTTCTGTCCTCCACGGGTGCACTTATATATATACAGGCATAACACTCAAATGCATTGACTCATATAATTATGCTGCATTCTAGACTTGAATACATGTAGACAGGAAACTTCATTGGAATTCTTATACTAAAAGAGATCAAGGACTAGTGAACAGCAATGAAGGGATTCAGATAAAATAAATCAAACCACATATAAAATACTTTTATAAAACTATAACAGAAGGGGCTGGAGAGATGGCTCAGCAGTTAAAAACACTGATTGTTCTTGCAGAAGACCTGGGTTTGAATCCCAGCACCCATATGGCAGCTAACAACTGTCTGTAACTCCAGTTCCAGGGGAGCCAACAGCCTCTTCTATCCTCCGCCAGCATTGCACAACACTGGTGCACTTACCTACATGCAGGCAACACACACATACACATAAAATAAAAAAAATTAAAAAAAAAACAAACTGTAACAGAAAAGACTCCTATATACATTTTGCCAGCATGAAAAGCTCTCTTCAACTGATTTTCTGGTGATTTTTAAGAGTTACTTTTTCAGACAATGGTTTCATAAAATCTCTTTTAACCATAGTTTCTCTTAATATTTATCTTTGCCCTTTTTTGGAAAATAAAAATTATGGAGAGTCTCCCTAATCAAGGAACTTTAAATTTTAGAGTCACTTTATTCATTATAGTTTTTCTAAAATATAATTAGCAACTATCAACATATGCTCAAAACTTCTAAGGCTCATATGAATAAAACTATAGAAGTTCATAGTCAAAAAAACATTTAAAGGACTAGAGAGATGGCTCAGCAGTTAAAAGCACATATTGCTTTATGAAGGACCCAAGTTTGGTTCCCAGCACCCACATCTGGCCGCTCCAGGGGATCCAACAGGTCCTCTCTGAATGGAAGGCCAAGAAAAAGAAACACCGCTGCAGTAGGGTACAGAAGAACACAAGCTCTTCAGCAACTTGTGGTACAATGAAGACAAACCAAATTTACCCAAATCTTAAAAACAATTCACTGTTCCAGTACAGAATAACAAAAACAAAGGTTACCATGTACCTGGTCAAGTGTGAGTTCTGAATAATGGAAACACATCATAGTTGGCATACCTGTCTAGTCTCTATGGATACCCACATATACACATAATCATACACATATAATTAAAAATTATAAAAATAAATCTTAAGAGGGGCTGGAGAGATAGCTCAGTGGTTAAGAGCACTGACTGCTCTTGCAGAGGACCCAGGTTCGATTCCCAGCACCCACATGGTGGCTACGAACTGTCCTTAACTCCAGTTCCAGGGGAATCCGAAGCCCTCTTCTGACCTCCATGGCATTGCACGACATGGGTGCACTCACATACATGGCAGGCAATACACTTGTACACATAAAATAAAAATAATAAAATATTTAAAAATAAATAAAAAATAAATCTTAGGAAAGCATTCAACGTTGGTAGTTCTTTTACACATAAAAGGCTTTACACATATTCAACACAGCATCTACTTGTTTTCATGGCTCAAAGGTAAGATCAGTATTATCTGCAATTCTAACACATACAAAAAATTTCACTCATTCCCAAATAACTCAGTCATGATTTTCCTAAAATGTACCATATAAGTCAATACCTTCTAGTTACTATTTCCATTTTCATCAGGTGAACACACACCTTCATCTTTTTTGTTGTTGTTTATGTTTTTATTTTTTTGAAACAGGGTCTCTCTGTAGCCCCAGTTGGCCTGGAACTTGCTATGCAGACCAGGCTGGCCTCAATCTCAGAGATTGGCCTGCCTCTGCCTCTGAAGTACTGGGATTAAAGGCCTGCATCACCATGCCTGGCCACCCTCATCCCTTTTTAAAAGAAAAAAAGTACCTAATGTACATTAATTAATTTTCAAAATACATTATGATTCTCTTTTATCAAAATATCTAATCCTATACTTTTTTGGGCGGGGGGGGGTCTTTTTGAGACAGGGTGTCCCAGTAGCCCCAGCTGTTCTGGAACTGACTATGTAGACCAGAGTGGCCTTGAATGCACAGAGATACACCTGCCTCTGCCTCCCAAGTGCTGGGATTAAAGGTGTGTGCCACCACATCCAGCACAGGTACTTTTATTTTTTTTAATAATATATATGTGTGGGTGCCTACAGAGACCTGAGGCATTGGATCCCCTGAAGCTGGAATGATAGGCAATTGTAAGCCATCTGATGTGGGTGCTGGGAACTAAAGTTGGGTATTCTGCAATAACAGTAAATCCTCTTAACCACTGCACTATCTCTTCAGCTCCACAGATACATTTTCTTTAACTTACATGGAATAACAATTTTCTATTTCAAAATGTGAAATTTAGCAAAAAGCAAAGTCTTTGGGTTTGTTTTTTAACTAAAATGCATTTATAATCTCTCAGATAGATGATTGATAGATAGATAGATAGATAGATAGATAGATAGATAGATAGATAGTCTTTTGGTAGTGTTCCTCTAGGGAGCCCTAAGCAATAGA